GATCGAGTGTTGGTTATGTGGCCAGATGATTCTAGAGTATAGTCTTTGTTACATTGTTGGAATTTTTGTGTAATTATTGTCTGAGAACAAAAACTAGTGAGTAGGGGGTGGGGTGGGGGTCCTTGACCCCATACCACGTGTAGTTATGCCATTCCTCAAAGTCGTTTTGTCAACATCTGCTAACATCTTTGGGTGCTGTAATCAAATGGTTTTATACCCCATCCACACCAACATGCTAAACATCTTTAAAAGCGTTTGAACTAAACAAGGCTAAAAATTAATTACTTATTCCGTACACACCTCACAACTTATCAAGATAAATACCTGTTTGATTAAAATGTTAACCAGGTACCCGGGAGTTTGAAAATTCTGCAGAGCGTAATTGACAGATTGGAAAAACTTAAACTGAGTTAGTTGGTGTGAACGGGGCATTAGTTAGAGATCAACCAGTGGATATTTACGGCAAGTAAACCTTGATTTTCTCTTGGTTACATAACATATCAACATGCCTGGTTGATGGTTTCTTTATTCTCTCAACCTGTTTTCTTATTGGCAATGTACGTGCTGATTTTTCAGGAAGAAATCAGACTTCGATCATACAGACATACACGCTTTCCTATACAATGCGCAGAAAGCGTAGTTTCAAGAAAATCTTGACCCGAAATCTTTCACTCTGCCAAACTTGCCTTAAAACTGTCCAAGTCATTTTCAAACTCAGAGCCTGGTATTGTTGTATTCAATAAGATCAAAGGATACTGATGAATTGCTTGCATACAATCGAAACGTCAGTTTATGTTAACTACAAAGAACACATTTTGTATACTTAGAATCAGTTCTTTCTGATGTATTCAAGAAAAAAAAAACATCGCTGTTGATACAATCCTTAGTGCGTGTGAAGCGTCCTGGAAGCTCACAGTTCTCCTNAACATCTGCTAACATCTTTGGGTGCTGTAATCAAATGGTTTTATATCCTGTCCACACCAACATTTTAAACCTGTTTAAAAGTGTTTGAACTAAACAAGGTTAAATATTAGTTGCTTATTCCGTACACACCCCACAACTTATCAAGGTAAAAACCTGTTTGATTAAAATGTTTACCAGGCACCCGGTAGTTTGAAATTTGTCTTCTCAAAGTGACTTCAAAGCTTAATTGAAAAATTGGAAAAACTTAAACCTGATTTAGTTCAACTAGTTTATTTGGTGTGAATGGGGCATTAGTTAGAGATCAACCCGTGGATATCATTATGGGAAGGAAACCTTGATTTTCTCTTGGTTACATAACATATCAACATGCCTGGTTGATGGTTTTCTTTATTCTCTCAACCTGTCTTCTTGGCAATGTACGTGCTGATTTTTCTGGAAGAAATCAGACTTTGATCATACAGTCACACGCCCCTTCCCATACAATGGGCAGAAAGTATAGTTTCAAGAAGATCTTGACCCGAAATCTTTCACTCTGCCAAACTTCATGAAACTTGCCTTAAAACTGTGCAAGTCATTTCTAAACTCAGAGCCTGGTATTGGTGCATTTAGTAAGATCAAAGGATACTGATGAATTGCTTGCAAACAATCAAAACATCAATTGATATTGACTACAAAAACCACATTTTGTATACTTAGAATCAGTTTTTTTTTATGGGTTCAAGAAAAAAAAAAAAACACTCAACGCTGTTGATATAATCCTTGGTGCATGTGAAGCGTCCTGGAAGCTCACAGTTCTCCTCCAGCTTCTCTCACGGAAATCTGTTCACTCCCCAGAACAGATAATCCCAGGGGCACTCAAAGGTCGGGGATGCTCGAATTAAACCCCTAAAAGAGATCAATTTGGGTGCGGCACGAGCTTTAAGATATCACTTGAAACGGAATAGGCGCAATTACCAATCACTGTTCAGGAAAGGAGCCCGCGCTAGTAGACCGGACTCGGGAGACCGGCGGAAATCGAGTCTAATCAAAGTGGCTGTGAGCCACTGAACTTGGAAAATATGTGATATGCGCTGGCTCGCCATGCGAGACAATGGGAGTTGGGATCCTAGTGGTGACTACCGATTATTTTTCCTTTTCTTCATCATTATTTTTTCTTTTTCTGTCAAGAAACCATTTACCGAAAGGTAACGTTTGTCTTTCCATTTCTTGTGTTCAAAAAAATCGTCTGGAACCTTTTTAAAGGCTTAAATGATTAAAATCGTTCCTTTATATCGATTGCTTTCGAACTCACAATATCACGTAGGTTTGTGAAGGAAAAACTACGAAGACTTTCCCTGAATCGAATCGCCAAGGAAGAACCATATATAAGTATTTTAGCTGTCAAGGTATCCTTTAGGGTGCACTCGAGGAAATAATAATAAAAGAAACGCTCTCATTTAATTTCTGTTTTCGGGCTTGATTTCCGCTGATCTCTCGAGTACGCGAGTCGGGTCTACAAGTGCGCGCGGGATCCTTTCTTGAACAGTGACTAGTGATCGAACCTATTCCGTTTTGAGTGGTGTCTTTTAGGGGTCTAATGAAGCTCAAGCAACGTCCACATTAGTCTCCCTTAGGAGTTAAATTCACATTTTCCGACGAGCATCCCGTGCCTTTTCATTAGGGAGTTCCCCCCCCGGGTTTCCAAATGTCAAACGGGAAGTGACCCAGTGAACGAGTGTTGGAGTGAAATCGTTCAACCACCACAACTTGGAAAATAATATTTTCCAAGTTAAAAACGGAAATAAGAGCGTTTTGTCTATTGTTACTTCAAGTGCACCCTTAAAGATACTTTAACAGCTAAAGATAGTGGCTTTTCTTCATAAATAACGTGAGACCGGAATCCTCGATTTATACCACTAAGCGAGACAGCAAAAGTCTTTGCCTACCGTCCACACAAAAACGCCCAAAAATGCTAATGGCAACGGAGGGTATTGAAAGTGGGGGAAATGGACGCTTCGTTTTTAGCGTGAACAGGTGAAAACGGAGGCTTTTGAAAAAAACGAAAAAAACGTCATATACTGTCGCTTCTATTAGCGTTTTCAGGCGTTTTCTAGCGCGGACGAAAGGCGAAAACGCAACAGAAAGTATGCGCTTTCGAATGAAAACGTATTAGTGTGGACAGGTGGAAACAAAATGAAAACGCTAATGAGGGCAAAAATATTCTGCTACGTTTTGGTTTAGACGAAACGGATGCTTTTAAAAATACATTAGTGTGGTTGTGCCCGAGAGGTGCTAATCTCATTTCGCGATACAGAATGCTAATAAAAGACTAGTAACGAATAAATGAATGTAAAACATTGTACAAGGAAAAAACTTGACACAATGGGCTCAGGACTACGTGTTGTTAACATTTCCTAGTAATGGGTACAGTGATATATACGTGCTAGGGGCATTTTTCAGGGGAAGCGGGCAGGGGGNGTCTTTGCCTACCGTCCACACAAAAACGCCCAAAAATGCTAATGGCAACGGAGGGTATTGAAAGTGAGGGAAATGGACGCTTCGTTTTTAGCGTGAACAGGTGAAAACGGAGGCTTTTGATAAAAACGAAAAAAGCGTCATATACTGTCGCTTCTATCAGCGTTTTCAGGCGTTTTCTAGCGTGGACGAAAGGCGAAAACGCAACAGAGAGTATGCGCTTTCGAATGAAAACGTATTAGTGTTTACAGGTGGAAACAAAATGAAAACGTTAATGAGGGCAAAAATATTCTGCTACGTTTTGGTTTAGACGGAACGGATGCTTTGAAAAATACATTAGTGTGGTTGCGCCCGAGAGGTGCTAATCTCATTTCGCGATACAGAATGCTACTGAAAGACTAGTAACGAATAAACGAATGTAAAACATTGTACAAGGAAAAACTTGACACAATGGGCTCAGGACTACGTGTTGTTAACATTTCCTGGTAATAGGTACGGTGATATATACGTGCTAGGGGCATTTTTCAGGGGAAGCGGGCAGGGGGGGGGGGG